CCCCCCACCCGACATACCCACCAGCAAAGACTGCAGAGCCCAGTTAAGCCAAGCCCATCCCAGCCCAGCCCAGCCCAGTCAGCAAAGACCCTCAGTGTTCCCAAATGGACACACAGAACACACGCCCCCCAACTCTTAGTCAGCCTTTGAGAGCAGCAAGGCCGTCCCCCGCTTCACCCAATAAGAGGGGTCCCGCGACCCGGACTTCAAATCGACCTGCAAACAGAGGAGCTCACACTGACTGGGGCCGACCGAGGGTGTTGTATAGAGAGAGCTTTTGGCTGACCGTGATCATGAAGGAAGGTCTTTCCCTGGTGCCCGTGCGAATGGGGTAGAGGTACAGCGGGCAGCCGTACATGTCATCAGACGGCCCCTTCTTCTTCGCCACAGGCTGCATCAACGTTGGGATGCACACACAGAAGTACAGTCGTGTCTCCGTCTGTCACTGTGTGTGGTTGCCGGGCTGACTGACTGACCCTGAAGTGGACGATTGGCATGTCAGCGAAGAGCTCCATCGGCTCTGGCTCGCTCAAATGCTAAACACATTTTCACACACACACACAAAGGCGGAGGAGACATCGGCGTGTGTCGGTCGGTCTGCGTCTGCCTCAATCACTTACCCCGGCGTTATAGTCCCACTTGGCGCCCTCGAGGATCATTCTCTTGACCATGGCGCCCTCTTTGGGCGGCTGATGCACCTGACCCTCATCGGATGTCGCCTGTACACACGCCAAATGCAACACACACAGTACCCACTGCACCGGTGTTGGTTCGCTGCAATCAACGACCCGACCTGGACAACAAAGTCGAAAGACAGAGCATCGATGGAGATGACGTTCTTGCGGGCAGACTGCTGCAGCAGGGCAGTGAGGAAGCCAGTCGGATAAGTGAAGCCACCCAGCCAAAACACACGGGGAGCACCTGCATCCAGCCAGCAAGACACAGTAAGTATGCAGCACTGACTGTGTCTCTCCCCTCCCAGCTATGCAGCGGTACGTACGTACCTTCCAGCCCCCATCTGTTGAGCTGCTCGATTCTCTCGGTGAGGTCAGCCACCCACGAGAGCAGCGGCTTGAGTGAGGGGTATGCGAAGGACCACATCTTTGGGACCTTCCCCTCATAGACGGCCTGCATGACCTCCTCGAGCTCCTCGCTGATGACCACCAGCCCCTTGATGCCCTTCTGCAAAGACGCCAGGGAGCTCCGCACCGCCCGCAGCAGCTTGTTGTACCGCTGGATCTCCTGCAGCAGGACCACGCGCAGAGGGGAGGGGTCGCTTTCGTTGCGCTGGTAGATCTCCCTGTAGTCGATGTCCTCGGGCATCTTCTCCTCTAGCGCAGTGCACAGACGGAGCACCTACATAACATGCACAATCAATCGAGGCAGCTCGAACACCACGCACACGCCCACTTACGGCGTCATCTTTGGTCTCGACGGCTCCCCCTCCCTCTTGTGCGGCTGCGGCGCCGCCCTGTGGCTGGATGGACACCAAATTGGCCAGGAGGGCGTTGGTGTCGGCGATCTGTGACGATATCTCCGCATTCACGTGCTGCCCGAAGGCCTCCGGCGAGTCGATCAGCGGAAGCTCGCGAGCATAGTTGCGGAAAGACGACTGAGGGAAGGCAGACAGACAGAGAGCTTCTTGTGAGCGTGCTCCATCTAGCTTACGAGTGAGAGGTCTTCCGGGCAGAAGTAGGTCTGCAGTGTGGAGAGCATGAACTTGGCTTGCACGGCTGCCGGTGAGAAGAACTCGTTGCAGTAGACTTTGAGCAGCCGCAGGTCGCGGTCGTCCGTCACGCGCCCGCCGTAGGACGCGTCGGCGATGAGGTAGCGGATGGCCTCCCATGGGACGTCCTGCGAGTACTGCTCGATGTAGATGGCCAGGATGTTGTCGGAGATGGAAAAGTCAGAGTCGTTGAAGTCGTAGGGCACGTTCCACCCGAGCGTCTTGAACTTCCTCCTCTCAAGGACGACAGAGTGCAGCCAGCAGAGGTTGAAGAACAGGCGGCGGTACTTGTCGGCCTGGATCCTCACTCTGTATGTGTTGAGACACAGACAAAATGGAGAAAGGTGGTCATTTGTGTGGGTGTGTTGTTTACCCACCTGGAGAATTCTTCATCGGACACCTGGACAAGCAGCCTTTGCAGGTTGGCCTTGAGGCCGCGTGGTGGCTCGGTGGTCATCTTCATGGACCGCTGCAGCAGGGCGATGGGGAACTTAGGCGTCGGTTCGCTGCTCATCCACAGTCTGAAGTTCGGCCTCGGCTTCTCCTCAACGATCTGGTCAATGAGCTTCTCCAGCTCAGGCAGCCACGACAGCGACAAATGGCAGTTGGCCAGAAAAACCCAGAAGCCCTGGGCCGCACCGTCGCGCAGCATCCTCTCCGCCTTGACCGACTGGCCCTGCCCCAGCGATATCGACGCCACCCTGATCCCGGTCGCATTTGCGAGCGACATGAGGTTCTGTGCGGGGTCGACCCCGGGTGAAAGGACGAAGATCATTGGCACGGTGGCCGATGACGCCTCGTAGAACGACTCGAGGTCGGGGGGCGGAGGGTCGACGAACTTGGGGTCCATCTTGGCGGCGACGAAGTTCGTTGCGGCCGGCAGGGCCCGGTCGGGGCGGAGACATCTGACGAGAAGGAGCTTCTGCAGCGGGTCCAGGCGGGTGTCCCACTCGCCTGGCAGACCCTCCTTCTCGGGCTCCGCCGACATGTACCACTTCTTCCACTCCCTGCAGGCAGACAACCGCATAACTCACATGTGTCTCGTTGCGTTCCGGGTGTGATAATCCCTGGCTGACCTGAGTGTTTGCTCGAATGATGAGGGAAATCCCTTGAAGGATTCGAGTTTGTCGAGCTCTGTGATGCCGTCCCACATGGGCTGTTTGATCCAGTCGGGGGAGGGGTTAGGCGTCTGCGACGACCGGTCCAGCACCTGTCCGCCGCGCAAGAAGAAGGCATACTCGGACGCGCTGAGCTGGCCCTCCGCAGTGAGCACTTTCGACGCCATGTGCACGCTCAGCAGCAGTTTGTGCTTCTCGAACAGCGCCCGACACGCGTACCTGAGTGAGACACATACATACGCCATTGCATTGCATTGCAATCTTCATGTGTGGGAGTGGAGTCCGTCTGAGGCAGGCCACGTGTCTGTATGTCTACCTGTATACGGCGAGTGTGTGCCACTGGTTGAGGACGCCAAGCCGCTCCTCGACGGAGCTGGTCATGGGGTTCTTCTCGCGCGAGACATCGATGGACTTGATGAAGACCTCGTTGTAGGCGTCGAGGGAGAACTGGTACATGGGGTCGATGCTTGTCAGGTCGCTGAGCACGAAGTACAGCAGCGACGCACGACGACCGCAGGGCCGGTACGCCTCACGGGCCTGGTCGATCTTCTTCATCGTCTGCTCCGAGATCTCCAGCTGCTGCGTCACCTCCTCGGATATGGTCTTTGACTCCTGCAGTGTGTTGATGAGGTCAATGTCGTCGATGAGCGAGCCCTGGGAGACGGACAGCAGCCTCAGGATTTCGTCCTCCAGGTCCTTGAGACGCTTCTTGCCATCGGCGACCTTGACGACGAGCTCGCCCTTCTGTTCCTCGAGACGTGGCTCCTCCTTCATGACGACAATGCCCAGCAGCTGGTCGGTGAGACCGGCCTCGACGACAATGAAGTTGACGATGGTGGTCTTGGTGGAGACCTCGGGGGTGTAGTGGGGGTTGGTCATCTTGGTCGTCAGGTACAGCATGAAGGCCGGGTTGTAGTCGAGCGTGTTGTCGCCGATCTTGATCGACAGCGACCCACCGCTGTCGATGATCTGTTTCGACAGCACCGGCTCCAACGACGGGTCCAGCTCCTCCTGCACTCGCTCCATCAGGATGGGCTTGCCCAGCTCGATGGCTCGCTCGATCAGCCGCATGAAGTCCTTGGTCTTGGGGTCGATGACCTTCAAGTCGCTGGAGGCCTCCATCTTCCTGATCCACTTGTTGGCCTGGTCCTGCGGGTCGATCATCAGCGGCCACCGCTTCGTGCGCGTCACCAGCACGCCGTTCTCCGTGCTGAACCGATCCGTCGGCAGCCCCTGGATATTCCACTGCCTCACATCAGTCGGCTTGGACATGAATCCGGCGAACTCAAAGTTGGGCGACTGCGGCAGAGAGTACTCCTTGACGTACGGCACCCAGTGTCTCGTGACGAGGTCGTTCCGGTAAGTGGAGTTGAAGGGCCCCGCATAAGAGAGGAAGGCGGCGGCGACGAGGCAGTCGCCGGGTAGGTAGGATATCTGCTCGTTGTACGCCTGTACTGACTCCTCCCAGCGGTCCTTCTCGCCAGCCAGGCCCGTGACGAGCTTCTCGGCCCGCTCGAGCTTCACCTTGAGCTCCTCTGCGCTCGCTGTCAGCTCGTCCTTGGTGCGCATGGACTCGTCGTACTGGAACTTGAGCGCCTGCACTCTCTCCTGGATGTCCTTGAGCCGCTCAGTGGCCGCCTTGAGATCGCTCTGCTTCTTGGCCAGTGTCTCCTCCGCCATCTTGAGTTTGAGTCGTTTGGGCTCCACCTCTCGGTAGACCTCCGAGTAGAGGCGCATGGCATGCACCCACAGGCAGAGTGCGCCGGCGGCGCTGCTGACCTTGGTGACGGCCTCGGGAGTGAAGCCTGGGTCTTTGGTGTACTTGATGATCTTCTTGAGAGTGGAGTCGGAGATGTTGTCCTTGTCGAAGTTTTTGATCTTGGTGAGGAAGCCGGGGTCGTTGAGCTCCAGCTTGGCCTGCTGCCACGAGGGCGTCTTATCCATGACCGTCATGACGGCAGCCATCGTCTTCATCACCAGGTCGGGCGGCTTCGAGTAGGCCTTGACCTCCGAGATGGCCTTCTTGTCCAGCTTCTCAAGCGCATCGATGGCCGCTTCGAGGGCCGGCATGGCCTTGGCGAGATCGCGACGGGCGTCGTCGGCAAGGATCTTGGTCTCTGCTTCCTCCTTGCCGATCCTCTCGCTGTCCGCCTCAACCTGCATTCGTCCACACATCAATCAACACAAAGGTTGTGTGGGCGTGTGTGCCATCCGAGCGAGCAGGCAGGCAGGCAGACCTGTTTCTTTTGTTCGTCGGCCGACATGCGTTTCTCGACAATGACGACGAGCAGGTCCTGGCACTCCTTCTGTTTCTTGGCGACGATGTCCTTCTTCTTCTCGAGGTCCACTCCCATCTCCTCCACCTGGATGCGCGCCTCCGTCAGCTTGTCCAGACCGTTCCGCAGCTTATTGGCCATCTCCCCGATCTCTGTGTTCTTCTCAACCAGCAGAGACACGTACCCCTGGGAGGAGGCACGCACACGAGGGAGACACGACACACACAGGACAGGTAGAGAGAGCGCATTCCCAGCACAAGGCATACCCCATCACATCACACCCATACCTTGACGAGCTCTAGGTAGTGTGTGGGCGTGACGTAGTTCTTCCTCTTCATCTCTGCCATCATGCGGTCGCTGAGGTCAATGACGGCCATGTGGGACTGCCCAAATATGTCGGCGATGGCCTTGCGCTGCTCCTCCTCAATCGACACCTCGTCGGAAGGCGCCGACAGGAATTTGATGGCCACCTCGGAGAGCGCATCCGCCGGCCAGGGCAGGAACCAGTCGATCGTCGTGTTGTTCACCAAAGCCGGGTACATCCTGATGGGAAAGGTCCCACCCCATGGATTGTCCCTCCCTGTGTTGTCTTGTGTTGTGTCATCTCCTCGCTTACCTGCAGTAGTTCCTGAATGCAGTGCCGATGGGCGAGATGCAGATGACCACGTGTAGGTTCTCCCGCACCCTGCTGAGGAGAAAGTCATACAGCGGCTCGGCCATGAGGGGCACCCCGGCCTCCTTGGCGGGCTTCTCCAGCTCAGCGCGGATGGCGCTCAGCTCGTCGGCCACGAAGAGGTTGGGCACCTCGCCGGACCCCAGGAGGTTGTTGACGTCCTCGATGAACGACTCGGTGACGATCTCCGTGTCAGAGAACAGGAAAGTGGTGGCCTTGCCCTTCACCTGACAAACACATGGACGTACCTACCGATGCATGCACCTGTGTGCGCATGAGTTGTGTCACTGACCCCTGCAGTGTGGTAGAGCTTCTTGAGGTCTTCCTGGAACTCCACGTGTCTGTAGTTCTTGCTGATCTCAATCTGGAAGCAATCGTACTCCGAGATGAACGAAGCCAGCCGCGTCATGGAATGGCGGCCGGACCCGCCCACCCCCACAAGCAGCGCGTTGCCCTTAGGCAGCGAAATCACCCTGTGGATGCGGCAGCAGTGCTCGATGGCGTCTCTGAAGAGCACCAGGTCCATGCCGGCGCCCTTGCACTGCTCATTGTACTCCTCCAGCTTGAGCTGCATGAACTGCCGTAGCAACCCGGCGTCGGTGATCTGGTCGTAGGGGGCGTTTTCCATGTCTGGGTTGTTGACCGAGAAGGAGGCGAAGATAGGGTCACCGTCCTGGTCCTTGCAGATGTCCTTGAGCCGCATTTGGAGAACGCTGTCGCACACAGAGTCAACCATCTGCTTGAAGTCCGAACGGTCCTGCGTGTTGATCAGCCTGCACACACACGCATCCATCCATCCATCCATCCATCGTGCCTCTTCCTCCCTCCCTTTGTCGTGCCCACCGGTCGTGGAAGACGCGGAGGTTCTCGTGATACCACATGCGGACGAGGCTTTCCTTCTCTTCGATGATCTGGTGGTTGGCCTGGTACAGCCCCTGGAACACACGGCTAATGTCTCGCATGTTGAAGAGGTAGTGCGGCTTGTCGGGGGTCGGCAGGAAGGTGCTGTTGACCGTGTCGTACAGACTGATGGTCGCCGCAGCCAGCGGCTCCGCCAGCTGCTTCAGGTCCTCCCTGAAGTCGTTAAACTTGTAATGTGCGAGTGTGTTGTATATTCTCTTGATCTGGCTCTCGCTGGGGAGGGTGAAGTTGATGAGGTTGAAGCGTGACTCCAGCCGCCGTGAGATGACCGACCGGCCACCGCCCGGTGGCCCCATCGCCGCCACGAGCTGCATGTCTTGGATGTACTTGAGCTGCTGCTTCGAACGATCGTACCAGCATCCGTAGTCCATCCACTGTCTGAGCAGCTCGAGGGGCGGCTGGGAGCCGAAGGTGTCCTTGCGGGGCATGTTGAGGTCGTCGCAGAAGCACACCAGCTTGCGGTTGCCCGGCGGACCGAACTTATTCTTGATCCGCTTCTCCAACTTGCCCTCAATAATCTGTTATGACCAAACCATCAGCGCTTGTGTGAAACAATCGCGCCGTCTATGTATTGTATGGTGTGGAGTGGCTGCGGACGTTTTGTGTTTTGAGTGAGTTGGTCTGTGCCGAGAAGTTGATGGTGAGCATGGCGTACACCTGGTCGTCGAGGTTCTGCAGGATGCTTGAGGCCACGCACGACGTCTTGCCGGTGCCCGTGTGGCCCACACAGAGGGTGTGGAAGCGTTGGTGCACCAGACCCGACAGGATGTACGAGTTGCGCACCGTGTCCACTGTCGGCACCAATATGCGGTGGAACTTGGTACCCTCGGACGGCCTGCCGTGTCACCCACACAATCCACAGCACGCGACAGACACACATGTTGGTGTCAAGTTAGTTACGCGCATGCGAACACAGACGCACTTACTTGTATGGGTTTGGTAGTCGTTCCTCCCAGTGTATCCACTCGCCCTTCTCAAAATTCAATCCATACTCGTACACCGTCTGGGTGGGCGGGAACATGTTGTCGATCTCACGAATCCGCTGGTCGATGATCGGCCGCGAGTCGCCGTCCACTGAGCCCCCCAGCGACCAGATCAGCGAGAAGACGAATATCCTTTCGAGCACCCGGGCCGCGTTCTCCCCGTGTGCGGCGAGGTCGCACTTCTGTATGAACACCTCGAAAAGGCGGCAGAGAGACATGACGCCGTTGACCTCCGAGATGGGCACCACCTCCTTGCACTGATCGCGGCGCGCCTGAATGAATGAACAAATTAACGGATGAGAGACAGACAAGACAACAGGTGTGTGCGTGCAATGGTGGGTGCTGTGTCTGTCTGTCCGCCTGACTGATAGATGGGGCGGGCCGGTACCTTGAGCACTTGGTCTACGTATTTCTCAAAGAAGCTAGCCAGAAGGCTGCGGTGGTCCCCCGACAAGGAGGTCTGCTTCGTCACCCACGTGTCGACATACGGTTTCCAACCTGACACAAGGGACAAGGGGTAAGGGCGGTGCGGTGCACAGGTGTTGTGCTGCGCTGCCTCCAAATACCCAGGTCGATGACATCCAGGTAGACCATGCCCGCTCGACTGACGGTGGCAGGGGAGGCCACAGCCAAATCCTCAACCTCAAACAAAAGAGACACCTGACACACACGGATGGTGAAGCGGAGCGGACGACATAAGGCATCGCAGGCAAGTAGGAAACCTAACCTGTAGTGGCATGGCTATACGGTCTCCGTTGATGAGTGTGAGGATTTTGTTGTCGTCGAGGACGGTGTTCATCGACTCGATCCACAGAGTGTCCACCGGACCGTCCAGGATGATCCACTTCTGGTCAGGCTTCTCGTCCTGGCAAGCTGTTCTCATAATCGATGAGAGAATGCCGTCGGTCCACTCCATGGTCTGCAGGTCGAACGAGCCGTACAGCTCATTCATGTCTATCGACTTGGGGTTGATCACATACGTCCTGCATCCATGAACAACGAACACCATGTATGTAATGCAGCGCAGCAGTGTTGGTGGATGGATGGATGGCCGGATGGTTCACTCACTTGACGGCTTCGAAGTCCGGGACGCCCTGCTTGGCGAGGGCTGTCATGGCTTGTTGCAGCACATGCCAGCATGTAGACTTGCCCGAGAGCGTCAGGCCCACAATCATGTTTCCGTGCCGCGTCAGCTTCGTCTCGTACACCTACCCCACAAGAAAGAGGCACAGAGGGAAGCAGGCCGCGAACATCTTCTGGTGTCGGGAAAGCTGCTCACCTGGATGGTCTTCTTGATGATCTGAGGCACCTTTTGCAGCCCCATCTCGTCCAGCACGGCCTCGATCGCTTCCTGAAGCTTCCCGTACTCGGGCTGATGAAGAGACACGCCCAGTCACGCAAGACCGAATGAGAGTGAGCTCACACTTACCTCAGGCAGCTCGAGACCAGGGAAGAGGTCGCTCAGCAGCGCCTCGAAGAGGGGCAGGTCCTCAGCAACGAACTTGGGCACATTCATGTCTCGAATTGCCCGCATCAGCAGCTCCTGCTCTGGCAGGTCAGGGTCGGCACGTTTGAGGGAGCCAGCTCTGTTGAGGACCGACCGAATGGCTCGGAGCCCGAAGTCGTAGTGGTCCTGCTTGGAGAGCTGCTGCACCATCAGCTGGTAGAGAGTCACCATCTTCTTGGCCAGCGACTTGGCGTCCTTGAATCCTTCGCTCATGAGCATGATTTCCGCGATCATGGCCATGTCGGGCACCATCATGGCAACGGGGCGGAAGAGCGACTTGAGATTGTCGGGCAGCTCCGAGCGGCCGGCGTATCCTGGGTTCATGGTGATGAAGATACCGCACCCTCTGTCCAACCGGATGCGGTGGCCCTCAAACAGAAACTTGAACGGCTGAGACGGGTCATCCGTGTCGGGCATCTCCCTGGTCGAATGAGTAGCCAAGGCACAGACAGACGTATGTATCGTGTGTGGGCGACAAGAAGGGACGGAGCCGCTCTACTGCACTGCTTACTTGAGGGCTTGTTGGATGGTCATGATCTGCTGCGCGACCACGGACAGCACCTCCACTTCAATACGGTTGAACTCATCAAAGCAACCCCAACACCCAGCCTGACAGATAGACACAGACATCCAGACAGACAGACAGACAGATAGACAGACAGAATGGGGCTATCTCTGCGCACCCATTCATTCCCCCCCGCACCTGCGCCATGCCCGAGAACATTCGGCCCAGGCTCTTGTAGTCCAGCCCGTCGCTGCAGTTCATCACAATCACGTACTTGGCCAGCCCTTTCCCCAAGTCCTTCACCGTCTCCGTCTTCCCCGTCCCCGCCGGCCCTTGTGGTGCACCCCCACGCTTTAAGTGCAGTGCCATCGTTAGGGTCATGTAGCATTTGTCCGTCAGAGGCGTCACCACCAGCCTGCCGTTGTTGCCCTGGTACTCGTAGCCGTACGGCGTGAGTGTCTCCGTTTGGAGGACCCGGCACGTCATGCCGCCCGCCGGCGGCGCACCTCCTGCAGCGGCCGAGTCCACCTCCTCGCGAAGTTCAAAGCGCAGCTGTGACTTCCATGGGAAGGCATTCTCATTCTCACACTTCATTTGGATCAAACGTTCCTGACAAGATCAAAGAGGATTCGTAGACATTTGCTGCCGTCAGCTCCAATACATGATGCCTGCATGTCCGTTTGCGTACCTGCACGTCTCGCGCGTGGACTTCGATGGTGATGAGGGCGACCAGCTTGAGACGCTCCACTTTGCTGAGCGGCTTTCGCACCAGGTCAGTCAGCTTGGCGAGGTACTTAGTCTGGTGCTTCTTAAGGAGCTTCATAGCGTTCTTGCCGCCCTTTTCTATCTTGCGGAGTGCCGCCTCGCTGTCGGTGGTCCATGCGATCTGTCCGGCTGTGATGAGGAGCTGGCCGGGGTTGTCCTTGATCCACTTCTCCTTCTTGGTCCCCTTGGCGAGGTTGGCCTGGTGCACCATCACCAACAGCCGCTTGAGCGTCTCCTTCATCGCCTTCTCTACCTAAATCGACACACATCACATGTATGTGGACGGGGTGGACTGGATGCACGTGTGCCACGTACCCTAATGAGCCACTGCTCTACGGGCCCCTCGATGACGACGCTCTTGGGATGAAACTTGACCTTCTCCCCGTCGGGCGCCACCATGCCCAGCGCCTCCCATGTGCGGTTGCCTTGCTTGCCAGGTGGGCACAAGTCGAGCACCTTGATGCCCTCGAAGCACTTCTTGATGTGCTTCTGCACCATCTCGGGATCACGCGACTGGCCGAGGATCTCAAGCAGGTCGTCACTGGACAGGAAGTAGAAACGCGGGAACTCCTGTCTCTTCCTCTCGAGGTAGTCGTCGAGGGACTTCTGGATGCGCTCGAGCTTGGCATTCATGGCCATAAGACTGTCAAGCATCCCGGGGGTGGAACAGGCCTTGAGCGCCTTTGGCTCGTGGTAAATCTTCTCCATCATCTGCTTGAATCCTGCGTTGACCTCGTCGAACCAGCCGGCCTCCTGCGGCAAGACCGGCCGGATGTCGTCGGAGCCGACGAAGATGTTCTCGAGGTACATCCACTGCCGCTGCACTTGGAGAGTCAGCTCGATCACCTCTGATATGTTGGCCAGCGCCTTCTCCCAATGCTCGACCTGATCGATCAGACGATACAAGGTGAAAGGCGGTGAGTTTGTATCTTGTGGACAAGGGGAAGTGACTCTGTACTGTCTCTGAGAAGGGCAGGTAGTACTGAGATGACTTCATTGACGACAGACTAAGGATGTGCTCCTCCAACATCGTGAAGAGCTCCTCTGACGTGCGAAGCTTGTAGTACACCTGAATTTGTAAATGCCACTGTGCTCCACTTCCGCTGGCAGCCTCTCTGTGCTACTCACCTCCTTGTGGACGACGATGTCGAGCAGGACGTCCTCCCACTTTTCTGCGATGTCCTTGAGGCCCGTCTCTATCTTGTACTCCTTCCTCGCCTCGTCAGCCAGACGGGCAATCAACTCTGATCAATGGATCAGCCATGTATGCCAGCTGCTATCGATGTGTCATGTGCTGACCAGCGTGTTGTGGGAGTCCGAGCTGGAAGACAGAGTTGAGTGTGAAATCGGGCGAGCGAGCATCAAAGGGCTCGGCCACCTCCTGCTTGATTCTCTTCCAGTGTCTGTCTCTAAGCGCCTCGCTCCTCAGGTTGGTGATGAGGGGCATGGCCGCCCTGAAGTCTTCAATGTCCTGCTTGGCGCGGGTCCAGATGGGCCACTGCTTGATCTCCTTCATCTTCTGGATCCTTTTCTGGTACGTCGACGCCATCGTGTCCATCTCGTCCACGTTCAAGTCGCGGAATTTGCCCGTCTTCATCGCGTTCCACTGCTCGTCCCACTCCTCCTTGATGGTCCATATCGAGGTCAGCAGCTGCAGGTCTTTCTCCATGTCGTCGATCTCCTTGTACTGCGACGCCTCCATGCCGAACAGCTCGATCTTGGGCAGCATGCCCTGCTCGGTCAGCCGCATCCTCTCCACCTCACTGCGGTAGTTCTGGATCAGCGCAAAGGCTTTCTCGTTGGCTGTCGCCTCCGCGTCAAATGGCGCCGCAGCCTTGAAGACCTTCTGCGCCTCTGCAGCCTGCTTCTGGAACTGACCAAGGTTGCTCTCCAACTCAGCCTTCATTATCTTCTTCGACCTGAACACCAAGAAAGCCAGCCGGGAGAGTGAACGCAGGCAGAGACATGCATCCACCGTGTGTGTGTGTGTGTCTCACTTGGCGAGTATTTGGTCAGCCTCGACGAGTGTGGTTTTGAATGTCTCGAGAGCGGGCCGAAGGCTTTTCTTCATCGCCTCCTCGTCATCGCCAACCTGAACTGCATACACACGCACGAGGGAATACACGCCAATGCACGAATGTGTGTCTTCGTGGCGACCTACCGTCGAACTCTGCAAGTTTTGCGTACTGGTCCTCCACAGGCTGGATGCGATCCTGCAGCCGAAGATCAAGCCGAGTGGTTGCCATGAGGCAGAAGGCACAATTCTTTCCTATCGACCTCGAGGCTTGGTATGTCGGCTTTGCACTTGTCGAAGAGGGTGAGATGATGGCGGAGCTCGTCTAAGGTCTTGGGGGCCTCCAGCAGGGTCTGAAGAGATAACACACATCCATGGAGCGTATCCATCTTGTCTCCCTCTCGTGAATACCGGGCCTGCCTGCCTTGCTCACCTTTGAGTTGATTTGGAAGTAGTCGAGTAGTGCGTTGAGCTCCTTGAGGGCATTCTGGTTGAGCAGGCCTGTGAGCTTCGACTGCCACTGCTGGCAGTGCTGCACAAGCGCCTGCTTCAGCAGTGTGAAGTCGGCCTCGATGAAACATATCGTAACCTGAACACATCGTGCGGATGAGACGACACGCCCAATCACGTGCAGTGCACTCATCGACGGCTTAGATCTGATCTGTGTCTCACTCACTTTGAATTCCTCCTGCTGGATATCGCTCTGAACCTCCTTGTACCGCTGGATGTCCGTGCCAACCACCGCGAGGGGCCTTTCAGTGCGGGCATAGCTGGCAGCGGGCAGAGAAGAGAGACACGCACGGCATTCCATGCATCTCATTCATCATTCATCGCCATTCGCCTGAGTGCGTGACGTGACTGACCGTTTGATGAATGCGTCCTTGTCCTGTGACACGATAGGTTGGTACGAGTTGTGCCACCACTTGAGTCTGTCCTGCAGCTTGGTGGCGCAGTTGTTGTGCCCCTTCATGATCTGCACGATGATCCGCACAATCTCGTCGTCCTTGGAGATTTCGTCGAAGAACGACTTCTTCTTTTTGTGGCTCTTGGCGAGTTCCTCCTCGTCGGGAATGATGATGGCCGACGCACCCGCGATGTCGCCGGCCTTCTCGAGCGCGGCCTTCTTCAGGATATCCCGTCGGGTCTTCTCCACCCTCAGGTGCTCCGACAGCCGCGGCACGACAGTGAGGGTCATGGTCATCTCCCGACAGATGAGCTGCAGCATGTCCTTCAGCTGGCTCATCGTCGGGCGAAAATCCATCTTGGTGCCCTTAAGCACGGCGTGCACTTTGAACAGCGGAGCGATGTCCATCTCGCCCCGTTTGCCGTCACTAGAGTTGAGGGCCTTCGACAGGTCCTGCAGCGACGATTTAACCGCCTTTTTGAGCGCCTCTTCGACCTATGTAGCCATCCATCCATCCATCCATCCATTTATCCATCGATGTGATGGCTGCGGTTGTGCAAAGGAGAGGGTTTGACCTGCTCACTTTTTTGTCCATCTTGTCGACATATTGCTTCCACTCACGCTGGATCTCCTGTGGATGCGTCTCGAAAAACTGAATACAAACAAAACAGCACACACATTGGATTGGATGTGTTGGTGCTGCTCATCCAACCATTCCACACACTTACCAGCTTACCTGGTAGGTAGCGAGCATGGTGTCGGTGATCTCGGCGTGCGTGTTCTGGAGGAAGTCGACAATCTCAACCCTGTGCTTCTCCTGGACCGTTTTGAACTCCTCGACAGTGTAGATGGTCTTCTTATCAATGAGGATCATGTGCCTGTCGCTGATGTTCTTGCAAAGCACGTTGACCCTGTGGTGGTTGGCCTTGTACTGCAGCACGAAGTCGTACACCTTGTTGCACTCGCGGCACGAGTCGCGCACGAAGAACTCCTTGATGCCTTGGGAATTCCACGTCAGCCGCTGGATGCCGGGGGATATCCGACGATCCAGCGTCTTGATGTGGTGGGCAAACAGCCGACGCTCCTCGGGCTGCATTGCATACATCGACACGATGTGTAATACTCACTACACGCAGCAGCGAACATAGAGCATCTCTATGTCTTACGGCGAGGTTGTCGATGATGACGTTGTACTCTCGCACAACACGCAGCACGTGCTCTCTGCAAACACACACACACAGAGAGAGACATGCGTTGCGCCAGTTAGCCAGCACCCCAAGCTAATCAATCCACCTGAGTACGCGGAGAGTGTCCCGGTGTGTAAACATCTCGTGTGCAGCGTAGGGCACGACGATGCCGTGTCCCTGTATCTTCTCCCAATAATACACCTCCTGGAACATCTTCATCAGACCCTTGTCGAAGTTGCTCTCCAGCTGCCCGCCCTTGCCTCTCGCGAGAATGTTCTGCTCCTGTCTCCCCAGCAGCGGCTGGTTGAGTCGCCTGCCGAACGTGTTGGTGTCCATGTTGTTCAGCTCCTGCAGCCACTCGTCAAACGTCTGCTTCACAAAACCCTCCAAAATCGACTGGAAATTCGAATACGTCTCCTTTGCAACCTGACGACACACACGTGGTCACACGGCAAGGCCCTGGCAAACATACTCTCATTGGGGTGGTTGGGTGTCCTCCCTCCCTTTCACAGAGTGTAATGAGTGTACCTCGGCCTCTCTGCTGTTTTCGAATCCGTGCACAGCGATGGTGTCGATGAGTTCCATCTGGCGCTGCAGCCGCAGTGCGATGCCTCGCGCCCACAGGGCAGTGCCCGCGTGTGTGGGGTGGCCTAGCGCAACCGGCAGCAGACACTTCTTGCGATACTGCTCAAACTCACGACGCAGACTCATCATCTCCTGCAGACACACGTGGATCGAAGTCATTCCCCTGACGTGTGCTGTGGTCGGCCAGAGAGGAAAACACACCTGTGAGAAGAGGTTATACACGTCGATGGCCTTCTTCTCGACAAAGCCCTTAATCCGCGGCCTTTTTGACAGTGAAAAGAAGGCGTCGAAGAGCTCGATTGCCGCCTCGGCCGTCGACACACCCTCGAATGCCGAGGTGATGACATTCATGTACATGACCTCCAAGTCCTTCATCTGGTTCTTGAAGTGCGAATAGTCATCGTGCCACCTCGTCGTCTGCACTTAGTTAGTTAGTGAGGTGACAAGAATACATATATGGGATGATGAAAATATCAGGCAGGCAACACGGACAAGGCAAGGCAGGCATCATTCGCTGAGTGAATGAATGGTTACCTTGACGTCGAGTATGTAGTACGAAAGGTTGCGCAGCTTGGCCACATTGTTGAGGAAAGATGTCTCAATCTCATTCAGGCTCTTGATCACCTCAGGCGCACGAGCACCTCCAAACCTAGGCAACTCAATCCCACTGACACAACACAAGCAGCAACAGCACAGAGACAAAGATTCACGGGCGTCTTGACTCTTCTTCTTCCCCCCGAGTGTGTTGGATTGATTGGTCACCGTGCCTTGGCCGCAAACTGCAGCTGGCCTTCACACACCTCGAGCAAATCGCAACACCGCTGGACAAATGCATCAACCTGAGCGAATATCGATCCCTCCGAGAAGTCCCATCTGCGTGTGGGGTTGTGTCTGGCCAGCAGCTTGGCCGTCCGCTGGTAGGTCTGCTTCCACGCCCTCCCACAGGCGGCGGACTCCTCAAGTCTCTGTGTGGCCTCCTGAATGTCCTTGACGGTCATGCCGTCGGGGTGTCCCTCAGCCCTCTCCTCCTCGGGCATGTCGGTTGCCCGACCCGCGAAGATGGCCTCCAGCTGAATGCTGTCCTGGCAACGGCGGATAATCTCGTTGGAAATCTTACGCAACAAACCTGAGAACACAGCGGGGCACATGTCTCATGTCAGCAGTCTACATCAACTGTCTCCTTGCCAGCGCACCGGTGATTCTGTCCGCGGTGTTGTAGTGTGTTGAGATAGTCCAGATCATGCGCACACTGTGCAGCAATGAGGGCAGGTTCTCGGGGATGACCACGGGGCTGGCCGCCGTCAGCTTCAGGCAGGGCTCCTCCAGAGCTGACAGGAACTTCAGGTTGGCCTGCGCTTCGATCGACCCGCGGGAAATGTCGTTCTGCAGCGCTCTGAAGTGTTTCAAATAACTCGACTTGGACGCCTCCAGCACACGCAGTATCCTCTAAACATGCGACAGGTAGGCAGACAGACAAAACGCTCGACAAGTGGACTCACTAACCGATCAGTGAGTATGTCACCTGCAATTGTGGCGTCTCAAGCTGTGCGTGAAGACGGGAGAGGTCGACGTTTCTGGCCCGCCAGAACTGAATCTCATCCAGGGGGCCCGCCACCTCGGCGTCGCCCATCGATGCCGCCTCCCCTCCCCCTCGGGATGCATCCTGCTGTGCAGTGACCTCCTTGATCTGTCTCGTCCAGTGGATGAGCGTCGACTCCAGCCGCTGCACGGCATCCTTGTCCTTGGACACCTTGTCGAGGTCCGAGAGGTCGTCAGGCGGCACGTACAGCACCGTGGCGCCGCGCGAGAGGAAGGTCATCTCGGTGAGCCGGGCCATGAACTTCTGAATTTGTCCCGTGAAGTCCTTCTTAAGATTCTCCGGCCACCTGCATGCCATGCATAAAGCAATCAATGCATTACAGATACCTATCCCGTATGTTATGTGGTGCTTTCTTTAATCAATCAGTGCAATGAATGGACATAGACTACATACCCGTGGTCAGATGCCGAGATGGGAATGAATGCGCCGTTCATGACGGTGAGGAGATAGTCGAGTAGGTGATCCTTGATGGTGCCGATGAGCAACACTTTGCTGATGGACCCCTTGGTGATGACCTCATGGTCCGTGTTCGGCCGCTTATACACATAGCAAAACTCCTTGACCGACCCCTGACGGATCGGCAGCGGCAACACCGCGGTGTCGGTGATGAGGGCCTGTCTGCCGCTGCTGCTGCCAGCGCCAGCCGGGGTCGCCCCGCCGTCGGTCTCGTCTCCCTCTTTGTCGCCGATCCACAGGTACAGCCGCTTCTGCGCTGCATCTTCAAACCAGCTGTAGAGCGAGATGGCTACGTCGGGCCCGAGCATCTCATCCTCATTGAAGCCGGCGAGATTGAGGCGGGCCTTGAGCCATTCGGCGCAGAAGTCGGGGTTGATGGGGTCGTCGTCCTCCCCGTGGTCCATGATGCTTTCCAATCACCACAACACGCGCTGCGCTGCAGTCGAGGGGCCGTTGGAAGCTGAAGTCTCCTGTTTGTGGGTGAGCGGCTGTAGAAATTAGGCCGCTAGCGCTGCCTTGACGATGGCGCACAGATGCTGTTCACCAACACGTCAAGAATGCGAGTCTTCCGTCTGAGACTGCGAGCCCGCCCCCATGCCCCCCCAGCCGCACCGTCTCCTCCTATCCAATCATCCCGCCCATTCCTTGTCCATCCAATAGACATGCAAGGTCCAGGGCGTCCACACAGTCTCGCAAGAAAACAGAACGTATGGACAGAAACAAATGGGCCAGCCAGAGAGGACGAGTGGTCAGCCGGCTAGGCACCGCCATGCATCAAAAGGGCTCTGAGTCCGTATCGAGGTCGGGCGGCGACGCGGCATCATCTCCAGCAGAGGGGGAAGGTTTGGGCGGCAACGGCTGCACAGGCTCGCTCTCAATCTGAGGCACCAACGCAGTGAACCTGAAACAAACAGCACGAACCAGGGACGTACACACAGACATGCCATCCATCCATCAGCATCATATGCGATTGATAGGTGTGGTTGTGGTGGTGCCCGTCTCACCATGGCCCGAGCGACTTGAGCTTCAAACTCGAGCACAAGTCGGTATCCAGAATGTTCTCCTCCGGCTCCCATGTGTTTCTGATGCAGACAGAGGAGAGGACACCACTCTTACTTGTGTGAATGGCGTCACATAGCTGCCTGCCTGCCTGGCGATGCGATGCGGCTTACTCGTTCTCGTCGAACCCCAACCACTTGATCAGAAAGTAGTACTTGGAGTCAGGCTTGTTGTACCTGCAGTGCACACACAGATGCGACAGCACAAGGAAGGCAGGCGCAGCATCCTCACGGGTGTGGGACGGACGGGTGTGCCGTGAGTGACCGTGTCTGCTTACTGGACTTCTCTGATGTCATCGATGGCGTACTGGGCGTTCTGCTTCAGCTGCTCACACACTGTCTGCAGCGACTCGGGCAGCGACTGTTGCAGAGATGCCTCAGGCTCCCTACAGACACACACGCGCGCACCCACAACAGGGCGACCAATGACCGGCACTGTTAAAACACAAACGCACTGCGGGCCCTTCGTGATGTCCCTGGTACGGTGATGCTTACCATGTGTTGTATGAGTCATCCAGAAACGCGTACGACACCAGGAAGTACCACTGACCGTCTTGAAACATACAGTCTTTGATTTCCTGCACGCAAAACATCAACAGAGCGCAAGTGAGGGAAGTCATTGCTGTCTGCAGGCTGCCTTCCGCGACCTCTATATTGCTGGTCGCCACCCCATCCGCAGACGGAACGTCTATCTGCCATGGGTCGAACGGCGAAGAGTCGTCTTCTTCACGATCCATGCAAGCGATGTCCTCCTCATGCATTCCTTTCTAGAGCGGAGAGTGGAGGCGCTCTCTTCATGTGCGAGCTGTGGAAAACGTGATGGTAGCGGGAGTTAGAGCGGAGACCGAGTTACACGGGCGAGATCTACGAGACATGAATTGCGATGGATGTGGACCCAAGCTTGCGTGTCCGTGAGACCCCCGTCGTCACTGAATGCTTCTACCGGCTTCGTCACATTCCTACTCGCTACCCCGAGCTACTGCTGATACTCCAACTGGTTATGAACGCCCACCTCGGGTATGATGAGCCATCTGGCGTGCACTCCCTCACCATCTGGCGAGACACCATCTCCCGGTGATGATGACCAAACAACGTGACGTCATCCAACAAGTGACACACAGTGAGTTGTGGTACAAGATGGCTGATGGCATCGCCGCCAACCCTCCTCGCTTCAGCGGCAAAGAGAGCGACTACCACAGCTGGCATCAGTCGTTTGCTGGCATGTTCTATGGCATCGATGGCATGGCCAAGTACTTCCATCCGTCAACCGATGACGAGCTGTCGGTGCTGCTCGCTGACGAGTCGCTCACAGATGTCCAACGCCGCAACATGAGGATGGGAAGATGGATGTTGTGGAGAGCACTGGATAGGGCCACAGAGGGCAAGGACTATCAAGGAACGGTCCAGGAGGCAACCACCACACACGATGAGTATGTGTCTCTGTTGGCTCTGCGTCGCAGATATGAGCCGAGCATCGAGCAGAGGCGCACACAGACAAATGTCGAATACGACAGGTGGGATTATGACAAGAGCAAGGGCTTCATGGATAATCTTGGAGACCTTGATCGTCTCTCACTTGCCGTCAACAAGGCGTATGGTACAGAAAGGCGCACAAAAGACGACGTCGTACAGAAGATGATCGTGCGTCTGGGTGCTCAGAGCGAACCAATGTGTGCTTTTCTGTGGAGTGTGTTCATCGGGCAGGTGGACTTCACTCACGAAAAGATGCGCCGTATGGCCGCTCGCATTATTGCGGAGCTCGGTGACGGTACGCATGGTCCATCTGACCCGCACACCCTGTCTGGACGCAATACAGGACAGGGAGCATCGACTGTGGTATTATTGCCCGTTGCTGGTGCCGCCCAAGAGCGCCGGCAACTATTCTGTCGTCTCTGCTCTACGCGACGAGAACGTTCGCTGTTCAATCACACGACAGATGAATGTCGAGTGCTCGGCCATATGCTGCAAGAGGTGCGAGACAGTGACGATGGATCTGAGCCAGACGAATGAGGCTCTACAAGACAACAGCGCACTAGCTGGCACCCAAGAGCTCACGAAGACAGGGGGCTAGTGCAAGTGAAGCTGTGTGTACGTATACATATGGACGTCATGTACGTCTGTATATGTACAGAAGTATTTTTCTCTCTATCGTCTCGTCACTCACTCAGTGCTATCTTGCCGTCTGTTGGTCGATTGGTCTGCCGGCTGGTTGATCGATGGATGACAGATGTGCATTGATTGATGAGGGCTGAGAAAGAACTGACTGAGAGAGAAGTGATTTGCTGCTGATCGATTCCATGAGGAATTGGTCTGCGTGCAGTCATATTTTTGATCAAGGAACACATTGACAGTGCGTGCGAGAGGGAAAGGACTTAAGAGAGTGATGTGATTGCTCAGATGCAGTCAGAACAGCATGTGCCATGGCAGCACCAAGTTATTCGTCACCTCTATTTCAAAGTCCAGATGTCCCTCACGCAAAATCAAACATGTACAGCATTGAGTCACGGACCAGCGCACGGTGGAGTGTCGCATGCATACACAAAATGCATTGATGACGCTCTGCATCCTAAGTGGGTTCATTGAAAACCTAGCCTGACTCTCAATTGCTGGCTAACTCCTTGGGCATTGAGCTCAGAGGGGGCATTAGGCAAAGCAATAACAGCACAGCGCACAAATAGCGCAGCTGGCCTGATGCGGTCTCAGCTCGTCTAGACACATGTGTGTGTTCGCTCGCTGCACAAAGACAGACAGCTAGGTCGAGCCACACACCAGAAAGACATCACAGATGTCTTACAAAAACAAATGTGTCTGACTTACCCATTGCATGCCAATGCCACTGTGTGTTCATAGACACACAAGGCACAGAGCGACGCAATGGCAAAAGCGAGGGACGACTGAGATAGACCT